AAAAAAAAAAACCAGCACTGATCTTCAAAAGTATTAAGGTCATAAAAGATTAGGAAAGACTGAGGAACTGTCACCAAGTGGAGAGACTAAGGATACATGACTAAACATAACATGGGATCCTTCCTGGATGGGATCCTGGACAAGAGAAAGGTCACCAAAAGCGAAGCAGGGACTGGATGAATCTGATTCCCAACCTAGAAAACAGGATGTCTGGCTCTGGGTCAACCACAGGCCACTTGAGCACTGCATGACCTTGAGGGAATACCTGCCCCTGCTGAACCTCAGTCTGACCATCTACTAAGTAGGACGCCTTTTAGAGTCCCCCGCCCCCTTCAGGGCTGTGGCGCATCTCGGGCCTTGGAAACCACGCAGGCGCGAGAGGGACTGCTTGATTGGCTATTCGTTGTGACGCACTGGCCAACGGTAGCAGCACCTAAGCCCCACCCCTTCCTGCCGCGCCTCCTAGCACGCACATCGGCGCCGTGCACGTCGCCTACACGCGGGGTCGCACGTATGGTGCGTGGTGACGTTGTGGCGGCGCGGGCGCCATCCCGGAAGCGCGAGCAAGGCCGCCAGATGTGCAGGTGCTGCTGCCACCGACGCCGGGGCCGAGTTCGGGGTGGGGCTGGGGACGCCGGGGCCGCTGGGGAGCCGGGCCGGGTCGGGCGCGGCCCCCGGGCTGTCGCGGGGTGGGACGCGGCGCTGGCCACATCTGGGCACCATTCCTGCGTCCAGGCCTCAGTTTCCCCGACCGCGCAGTGTATTCGCCGGTGGCGCTACGGGCCGGTTCCGGATCCGGGGCGCGGGAGCTGGGGCCGCCTGTGTTCAGGCTGTGCAGTGTCACCCGGAACCAGGCATTGCCCTCTTTGGGCCTCAGTTTCCCCGCTTTGCAGGGGCGGGGCGTGAGGGGGTATGCGAGTCCTACCTCACTCGCGGGTTTTGCTGAGCTTAGGCCGCCAGATTAAATTCTGCGTCGATAACTGGGTGGAATCCTGGCGCCTCCGCCTTGCCGTGTGACCTTGGGTAACGGAGCCCACCCCTGTGAGCCTTAGTTGCCCTTGGAGATGATAGTGTTTGCCTCATAGGGATGATTGGGGATTAAATGAAGTGCTGTACAAGTGTTTGCTCTTGTTCTTGGAAGTACCAGGGAGCCCCTTGCTAAAATGCTGGTTCCCGGGACCCGCCCTAGGACTTCATAGCCCCCCTGGAGAAACAGTCTGCTCCGAGCCCAGCTCCTTTATCACTGTTGGTTTCAGTCCTCACAGATAGCGCTGTGAGATTCTGATTGTTATTCTCATTTTCTGGATGAGAAAACTGATTGAGGGAGGTGAGGGGACTCTCCCAAGATCACACAGCCTCCCTCTCTGCGTGTTTCCCTCATAAATATATTTGGAGCAGGTGGTCATTTCCACCTTGTATGTGGGCCAGACTGTTAGGGAAGTCTTCCTGAGAAAGGCAGCTGGGTGGAGAGTGTGCCTTGAATCCCTTGGCCCTCACATCTGGGAGCCAGAGACAGGAAAGAGCCCTACTTTGAAGCAGAACCGTTTTCCACAGGCCCAAATCTTGCGCCTGCCAAGCACTAGCTGTGGGGCTTCCTGCCAGAGGAGTCTGCCCTTTGAGCCCAAGTATCCTCTTTATACATGATCACACTTCTTTGGAAATGTGGATACTGTGGGTGTTGGTATCTGGCACATAGTAGGAACTCAGTAAACATGTGGTTATTGGGTGGGGGGAACTTCACCAGGTGTGGCAGTTTATTTCCAGAAGGCACATAGGGGCTGCAAATGACTTTTGGCCTCCATGCTTTTTGGGGAGAAAAATACAAGCTGCTATTTGTAAATGAGGCCATTTCTCACACTCACACACACACACACGCACACATCCGTCCACGTTTCTGTGTTTTTTTCCTGGAAAAATTCAGAAGTCTGGCAGAAGTCAGTTGCTGTAAGAAGCAGCTGTCCCGGCATAGGTGGGCACTGAACATCTGTTCAGATTCACAGCTTTGTGGATCCTGTAGACTGTGGGCATTTGAGTTGTGACTCAGGTTTCCTGGCTCTGTGGCAATGGTCCAGCTCCTCAGTTTCTGAGTCTGTTTCCTAATACGTAATTAAGGATAACAGTTCTCAGTGTATGAAGCTTAGTGGTTTGGTTGCATACAGTAAGTGCTCAATAAAGAGGAGGGTGGATCAAGTGGGCTCTGAAAGCCTTTCCTGGTCCTGCATGTGAATCTCAACCAGTTGCAACTGGGCCTTTCTATTGGCAATTAAATATGTGGACCTTAGAGCCAAGCTATGTCAGGATTCCGGGTTTTGCCTGACACCGCCCCCCTCCTACCCCCCGGAGGGTGAGTGCTGAACCTGTGGCCCCCTCCTGCCCTGGCATGGTCTAGGAGGCCCCCACCCACCATGATAGTCATCTGTCTAGCCACAGAGCCATCTAGGTTGCAGGGGCCCACAGCCTGACTGAAAATTTTGGCTTTAATTGGCTAATACGAGTCTACAGTCAGAGCTGAGTTTGAAAGCCACCAAGCTAAGTTCTGGTGATCCCTTGCTGTGAGCCAGGTTCTGGGCTGGGCTCTGGAGGCAGAGACATGCTTCTGTTCTCTTGGAGCTGACATTGCTTTGGGAGTGACAGGCAAAAAAGTCAACTGATTGGGCGCCTGGATGGCTCAGTCAGTTAAGGTTCAACTCTTGGTTTCAGTTCAGGTCATGATCTTGGGGTCATGGGATCGAGCCCGGGGTCAGGCTCTGCACTCAGCAGGGAGTCTGCTGGAGATTCTGTCCCTCTCCCTCTCTCTCCACCCCTCCCCCCTGCTTGTGTGTGTGCACGCACACTCTCTAAGAAATAAATCTAAAAAAAAAAAAAGGTCAACTGATAACTAAGATAATTTCAGGAAAGGATGAGCCAATGAAGCAGTAAGACGAAGTGCTAAAAGTGACTGGTGTAGGGGATAGTCATCAAAGATCTCTTGGGAGAGAAGGTAGTGGAGGTGGTGATGATTTGAGAGGGCAGTCATGCATGTGGGGACAGCAGGTGCAAAAGCCCTATGGTGGGATGAGCAAAGTCAGGGGGATGTGGGTGGAGGCTGGCAGATCTGTGCAGGTGGAAGGTGGCCATGGGGACTTGGGCCCATGGAGACTGGGGGCCACAGAGGTGGGTGGGTGATGGGATTCTGATGTGCTTGATGCAATTTACAAATATGTCCTTCCAACACCCCTGAATTCTCAGGATGACAAAGCTGAGGCTCAGGTGGTATGACCGACTTCTGGTCATGGGGCCCAGGGTTCCCAGCCCCTCCTTTCTGCCCCACCTACCCCACTGCCTGGTGTAGACTGAAGACTCCCTGCCTGCCTGTTTCAGGCAGCGGAGGAGGAGGAAGAGATGGACCCCCCGGACTCGGCCTCGAGGGTCTTCTGCAGCCGCATCCTGAGCATGGTGAACACAGATGACGTCAACGCTATCATCCTGGCTCAGAAGAACATGTGAGTGGTGGCCAAGAGCTGTGGGCCCCGGGCGTGGGAAGGAATCTACCCGCTGGCTAGCATTCTTGCCCTGCCCGCCCTTACCCTGGGCCCACACTGGTGATAAAATGAAGGAAATGAGCAAATCTGCCGGCTGGCTCCAAAGTAAAATTCCTTCCTGGTCTGGAGGCGAGGCCTTGGCACAGGAAGCAGGGCTTTGGGGTGGTTTTGCAGCTGTGGATGGCTTGGCAGGGGCCGCAGCAGCTCCTATCCCAGGGCCTGGGGTGAGGAGTTGGGATAGGAAGGGACTGTAGGAGGGGATTTAAGGAAGCCAGTGAGCTGGTCTCCGTTAGGAGCCTGGTCTCTCAGAGCCTAGGCTGTCTCTGCAGAGTATCTGTGGTCTTTTGGAGGGGCCATCAACAGCCTTTGCCCTCCTTGGGGCTTGGCACTGTGACCACCACAACCTCACCCTAATTCCAGCCTGCTCTGTGGGGAAGAAAATCTTACACAATCTTGGGGTGGAAGCCCAGCCTCCTGTGGCTTTATATTTGTGTATTTAAGACAAAGCTCTTCCTTCCATTTATGACACAGCACAGACCTGATACCCTTCCATCTCTCATCCTGTGATGGGGGTGCTGGGTTTGTCTGGGTCAGATTTAGGCCTGGCATGGTGAACTCCCACAATGAGGGGAGACAAAACCAGACACAGACCTTCCTGGCCTCAGGGTGTCAGGGCTGGGCCAGAGGAATAACCTGGGTCTAGAGAGTCAGGGGATTCAGAGTCTGCTTGAGGGAGGGAGTAAAGGCTACTTGGGTAGGGTTTTGAAGGTTGAATAGGAGTTTGCTAGATGGCTCAAACAGCAGGTAGAGTTCTGCAGGGCAAGGGAACAACACACGCAAAGGTCATGGAACAGGAAGGGGCTTAGCATGATTAGTTTGTAGGGCATGGCCATTTTGTAGTGCATGGTTTGTAGGGCTGGTACCTTTTGTCTGCCGCCAGGCTGGACCGGTTTGAGAAGACCAACGAGATGCTGCTGAATTTCAACAACCTGTCGAGCGCCCGCCTGCAGCAAATGAGTGAGCGCTTCCTGCACCACACAAGGACCCTGGTGGAGATGAAGCGGGACCTGGACAGCATCTTCCGCAGGATCAGGTGGGTCCTCAGCCCCTCCAGCCTCTGCCTCCCCCTCTGAGCCTCAGGTTCTTCCCCTCTTCAATAAGGACCATCCACTCCACATAACAGAGCAATGGGGAGATTCAGCTCATTTGTTTTTTGAGGCTTCAGCGCTCACTTAGCATCTGAGAAGATCCGAACTTTGGGATGACAGATCTTGAAGTTTCTGAATTTCCGTTTTATTTATCTTTCCAAAAATGCAACATAGCACCAGATGCATAATGCAAAAGGCAGGCAAGTGCAGCCCGGGAAAGGCAAGCCTTTGGTCCTCCAGTCCCCAACCCATGAGGAGGCATATGAGATTGCTGGGTTTGGGGGGTCCCTTCTGAGCTGTTTTCTGTGAGGACAGAGAAAAATGCTCAAGTCCCCGAGCACGCACCCGGGCCGGAGCGAGCCAGAGCGGCAGCCGTCGTTCCTGCTGACAGAGCCGCTTCCTCGGCCCCGGGGGGGCAGCCGCACCCACTGGCAGACTCAGGAGCAGAAATCATGAGACAGGCCAATTCAGTCCTTTATAAAAGCACATCTTTTCTGGGGCGTCTCATCAGGCTGGTTGCCCAGGCGTGGTGTTGGGGGTGAGCAGGAACCCCAAGCGTTGGCACCCTTTGTGCGTATCTGTGTCACCCAGGAAGAAGATACTTGCTTCTGCCCCATTGCCCTGTGGGCAGGGACCCAGCAGTGGTGATACTTCTGGGGGGCACTGGTTGGCCATAGTCAAGGATGAGACTTGACTATCATTCTTTGTAAACCCCTTTATCATTCTTTGTAAACATGACTTCATGACTTTGGGGAAAAAAGGAAAAACACCTGGATAAAAATGAAGCGGGCCTTTCTCTGTGAACATCGGTTTAACGTGTGCAAGTACCCAGTGTCTGGGTGTGGCTTAGCCACGCCTGGCCCCCACACAGACACTCATCCGCCGATGGGGGACAGGTTGGGACAAGTCACCCAGAGGAGTGACTGCCGAGGAGGTGGTGAGGAAGCTTCCTAGAAGGTTATCTGGGCAGAGGGGGGTTAGACCTAGGAAGGGCATGGCAGGTAGAGGGCCCAGCCCGACTCAGCACCGAGGACACGCACAAGCTCTGTGAGAGCTGGGTGGCTGCCATCTGCCCTAGGGGTGAGAGGTTTGCTGGGCTGAGCACATGGGCCTCCCTCCAGCCCAGGAGCAGAGAGTGACAAGCGGTGTGTGTGTGCGGGGAGTTCCCATCCCCCACGCACTTGGAGCTGGCAGCAAGGGTTCCTGGCGTGCACCAGGCCCAGCCTGTCTGCTTGGCAGGTTCAGCCCTGTATGCCTTCCCTTCCCCCGCAGGACGCTGAAAGGGAAGCTGGCCAGGCAGCACCCGGAGGCCTTCAGCCGTAAGTGTCACCCAGGGCTCCTGCGCCCCACGTCTGGCCTCTGCACCCGCGGATGTCAGTACCCTCAGCCCAGGGCTGGCTGACCCTGATCCCGGGCCCTGGTGGGCAGTAGATGCAGAGAGATCTGGTGCAGGGAGCAGGGGCGGGGGTGCTTGGCTGGTCTTGGCAACCTGTAGAGCAGGTGCTGGGACCAGGATCCCCCTGGGGGGGAGGTTACACAGGGGAGTGTGTGTAAGAACGATGACAGTCCTTGCCCAAGGGGATGTAACATAGCCCTATGAGCCAGGCTCTTACCTATAACCACCCATGAAGTGGGGGCTGTGAGTATCCCATTTCATATAGGGGGAAACTGTAGCCCAAAGGAGCCGTGACTTCTCAGAGGAAGTGCAGCATCTCCCATGCTGAGCCTCAGTTTGCCCCCTCTGCCAAATGGGCCAACATTTTCCCACCCCAAGGCCGCTAACAACCATAGGCACAAAGGCAATGCTGTCGGGGCGCCTGACTGGCTCAGTCAGTAGAGCATGCAACTCTTGATCTTGGGGGTGTGAATTCAAGCCCCACGTTGAGTGTAGAGCTTACTTTAAAAAAAAAAAAAAAAAGGCAGTGCTGTCATCAGGCCTGGTTTATAGAGCAGAATGCTGAGGCAAGGGTGGTGAGAGGCCTGGCCCCAGCAACACAGTCAAGAGGGCAGAGCCAGGCTCAGGCTCACCCCAAGGGCCCATGTTGGCTTGACCCCAGCGAAGCCAGGTCCTGGCTGTACCTTGAAGGAAAACCTCTCACCTTCCTGGGCTCAGTTTCCTCCTCTGTAAAATGGGCCACATTATGCCCTGTGGGGTGGCAGGGGAGCGGTCAGGGGTCATAGGCCCAGGTACTCTCTCATCACAGTGTCCACCACAGTGGCTAAGCCAACTCCTGGCTTTCATCCCCCAGACATCCCAGAGGCATCCCTCCTGGAGGACGAGGATGAAGACCCCATCCCACCCAGCACCACAACCACCATTGCCACCTCGGAACAGAGCACGGGCTCTTGTGACACCAGCCCTGACACTGTCTCACCCTCCCTCAGCCCCGGCTTCGAGGACCTCTCCCATGTCGGGTCCAGCTCCCCTGCCGTCAATGGCCGGAGCCAGACGGATGATGAGGAGACACCGGGCGAGTAACACTACTCCCTGGTGCCCCGAGGGGTCTCAGGGCAGTGGCACTCCCCCGGTGTCTGAGGTGGCAGCAGGTAACCCTGCCTGGAGATCAGCAGCTTCGCCACCCTGTTCTGTCACCCAGGGCTCCCCGGGGGACCTGGCTCCCTCTGGGGGTGTGGAATTCCTAGGGGGTCTGTCATTCCTACTTCTTCCTCATTGAGAACATGTCTTTTGCAGACCCCTCTGCCAGACCAGGGGATGACCAGCTCAGCTGGAGTTGTTGGGCTGGGTGTGAGGGAGCTTTTCCAGAGCCAAGCTTGAGGTCTGCTAAAGGCTCCCAAAGACCAGAGCCAGATTGCCCCTGCCCCGGTGCCCCAGTCGAGACCTCCTCAAAGCAGACCAGCACTGTCTGTCTGAGTTCACCCCAGCCCATCCCTGCACCTACCAATTCTGGTCTCCCTGTCCCTTCTTCCAACAAAAGTATTGAATACTGTCTCCAATAGGTATCTCAAGGAGGTTTCTGAGACAATTGTAGAAGGCTCAAGATGGAGGCTGGCCATTCAGCCGCAAGCCTGATAAAGCCTGTGTTTCTCTGACCAGAGGTGTGAACCTTGAAGGCCCAGCAGGCCTCTCCCAGGGCCTCCGTGGAGCAAGCTGAGCCACCTTGGAAAACAGAGTTAAACGGAATATTTTTGTACCCGATGTTTACAGATGCTATTGGGAAGTTATCAATAAAAAGACTCTGTTACTAAAAAGGGAAGGGTGTACTTAGCAGTGGCTTCCTTCCATCCTTGGGCCCATTAGGCCATAAGGGGAACAACTGCAGGATGTGAGACAGGAGGGGTATGGGCGGCCAGGCACCACTGAGCTAGAAAGAGATGTGGCTGCTCTTGGTGGGAGTCTCCAGTGGTAGCAACCATAATAACCCAAGTTCCTATCACCACCTATGTACTCACACATGCTGTTCCCACTGCTCACAACACTGTTCCCTTACCTCTATGAATAACTTCATCTCCATATCTGCCTCAGGATGGACTCCCCAGGGAGCCAGGCTGGGTCCCGTTCCTCAGTAGACACTGTGTAGAGTTCCCTCATCTTTTAAGCACTTAGAAATTGTTATTAAAGGCCTCTTCCTAGACCCAAGAGTGTGTGCTTTTGCCTGTCAATTGGGGGCGCTGGTAAGCGTTCAAGGACATAAAGAGCTACACTGCCAAACCCATAGGTAACTTCTCAGTCCTCACCCTTACCACTCCCGGCACTTTTTAGCCACCCACAAGACTCCTTAGTCTTAACAAAAGTCCTCCCCGGCCCCAAACACCCTGGGTCGCACCCCATTTTCTTGAGTGAATGCACCAGCTCCACCTGCCCTCACTACCCTGGTAAGCGCCGCCTTGAAATTCATCCACGCATAGAGTCCAGAAAGTTTCCCAAATAACTGACTCCTGGTGTTAGGTGGCTCCGGAGGGTCTCGCACGTCCCACCCCGGCGCCGCCTCCTACCTTCCCTGTCCTGACCCGAGTCCTGGACCCGCTGACCCCCTGCTTCATTCCTTTGCTTTACCACAAATGGTCTCATCTCTAGTCAGCAAGCATTCCCCGAAAGGCTGCTACGCGCCATCAGTTTTTGGCCGACCCACAGACAACAGGTGGAAACACCTGGAAAGGTGAAGCCGTCCCCTCACGTGACCTGGAGGACGCGGCCCGAGCCCGGAAGAGGGTTGGCGACGCTCGCCCACAGGCGCCGCGGCTTCGTTTGCCAGCACCCAACATGGCAGCAGGGCGGGGCCGGGGTGGGGTAAAACGTGCGGCGCGAATTGTGACGCAAGGGCGCAGCGTGCTCGGTGCGCAGGCGCTCTCGGCGGCACCTCGGCGGTTTCCGGTTCCGCCGCCCTCTTTCTCTTCAACGAGGTGGCCGAGCGGTTTGGTGGCGGCGGCGTTGCGGATTCGCGCCAGGTCGGGGTCGGGCGGGAGGCTGTGGGAGGCCGCGGGCGTCCGGGTAGCGGAGGAGGCGGCCCGAAACCGGTCCGCGTGGGCCAGGTTCCGCAGGGCGGCCGAGTCGGCTGAGTTGGGCGCGTGGGGCCGGGTTTTGGAGCCCGGACTGGGTCCCGGGATGCGAACCGGACTTTGGGAGAGTGTCTTTGTGTGCCCTGCCAGCCCAAGCTATGCCGCGAGGTCTGGGGGCGTGGATGGTCTTCCTGGGCAAACCTCTCAATGGAGGAGGGGTATGAAGCGTGTAGCTTTTTTCCGTGCCATGTAACAGCGCCAATCCCTCTTCCGCCTACAAGGTTATTTTCTACTGGCCTTCTTTAATATATCCGTAAGGAGAGAGTGGTAGCGTCCACCAGTTAGGGTTTTTTTTGGGCGGGGGGGACGATGGAATTATGTGTAAACAAGTACCTGGCACGTGGTTGGCAGATACTGCTTATGGGTTGGAGCAAAGGCAGGAAGCGTGGTCTGGCGAGTTTGGGTATAAACTGGGAAGGAAGCCAGGGTGTTGGGTGTCTGAGCTTGGAGTTGGAGAGAACTGCAAGGGAGGAAGGTGTGTTGGAGGGATGGCTACTAAAATGGGATTCCCACTCAGGTTGCAGAAAGGGTTGCTTGTGGAGCAAATGTGGCTTACAGAGGGGTAGGGGAGGGAGGATAGATCTCCAGACCACACTCAGAGAAAATAGGTCTGGCAAAATAGTGCCCCAGCCCTGTACTTGTCATTCCATCATCAAAGTTGACAATCTCATTTGCTGGGCCCAAGGAGCATAACCACAGTCCTTGTTCCCGTGAAGCACACTTTGCCACAGGGGCCCCCGGGTAAGGTGGAGGAAGCATGATCCTTGATTATAGGACAAGTTTGGGCTGCAGGCTTAGAGGGGTGGAAGGAAACAGGCACTGGGATGGGCCTGTAGTTGTGGTTGATGCTGGCACAGGGCTGGCAGGGCCAAGGCTCGCCAGCCCCTGAGCTCAAGCTGCTCAGACTGCAGTTCTCACCCTTCCATTCCTACTCCCTACCCTCCAGCAGACGCAGAGATGCAGATCTTTGTGAAGACCCTGACGGGCAAGACCATCACCCTCGAGGTCGAGCCCAGTGACACCATTGAGAATGTCAAAGCCAAAATCCAAGACAAGGAGGGTGAGTTGGGCTGAGTCCAGAGGCTATCCCGCAGGAGTCCCCAACCCAGAGGAGCCACTGTCATGTGCAAGATGGGTGCTGGGCTTGTATAGACCTCAGCCTTGGCTGGTACTTTCCTTGTGTGATTTTGGGAAAGAAGCTTGTTCTCTCTACCTTAGGTTCCCTTTTGACAGATTGGGGGTAATGCCAGAGCATCCCTGTGGGGAGAGGAGAAACTGCCAATAATATGCTTGCCAGAGCCTCAGTAATTGAGCTTTCTTCTCTCCAGGCATCCCGCCTGACCAGCAGCGTCTGATTTTTGCGGGCAAACAGCTGGAAGATGGCCGTACTCTGTCAGACTATAATATCCAGAAAGGTACTGGGGGTAGGGTGGCTGGACAGGGCCCCATGAGGTCTAGGACCAAGGATCAAGCTTTGATGGCCTCATTGGCAGTGGCCGGGGGGGGGGGGGGAAGAGGGGAGGCTGTCTTAAGGTGAGGATCAGATGGGGCTGATGAGTTTTACTTTTATGAAGTAATGTTTTTGTTGGGGGGAAGGATCTTACGGTCTCCACTTAGGTTTCCAAGTGGCAGTGGTTTCTCATGTTCTTGCGTACTTGCTTACCTTTTTTTTTTTTTAAGATTTTATTTATTTATTTTGACAGAGACACAGCGAGAGAGGGAACACAGCAGGGGAGGTGGGAGAGGGAGAAGCAGGCTTCCAGCGGAGCAGGGAGCCCAATGCGGGGCTCGATCCCAGGACCCTGGGATCATGACCTGAGCCGAAGGCAGTCGCTTAACCAACTGAGCCACCCAGGCGCCCAAGTGACTGACTCTTGATTTCAGCGGGGGTCATGAGCTCAGGGTCCTAGGATCCAGCCCCAGATCAGGCTCAGCGGGGAGTCTGCTTGGGATTCTCTCTGCCCTTTCCCCTGCTCATGCTCTATCTCTCTAAAATAAATAAAATTTTTTAAAAAGAAAGATTTTGGGAACTCCTGGGTGGCTCAGTCAGTTAAGCATCTGCCTTTGGCTCAGTTCATGATCTCAGGGTTGGGATCGAGCCCCGCATCAGCCTCCTTGCTTGGTGGGAAATCTGCTTCTGCCTCTGCCTGCTGCTCCCCCTGCTTGTGCTCGCTCTTTCTCTGACAAATAAATAAAATCTTCTAAAAAATAAGTAAATAAAAATAAAAAATTTTATTATCAGGAGTCACATGCTCTCCTGACTAAGCCAGCCAGGCACCCCCTTGATGTCACTTTTTGTAGCAACTAGATTTAATTATTTTGCTCAGCAAGGTGAAAGATCATCTTTGCACCACTTAGAAATTGCCTTGTCTGTCAGGAACCCGTGATGCACACTATAGTTGGCATGTATTAGCCTCAGACGCCCCAGGGGCTAGTGGGAAGTGAGATGAAGGTTCTGTGGGGCGGTCTGAGCCAGTGTGGCCATCTGTGTGTAGAATACCCCATCACATTTGAGAAGCTTTGGTCTGGAGGACCCTACTCTGCACCTGAGGTGCTGGGGCCAGGCTTAGTCACTGTCTCTCTCTAACCCTCCTGTAGAGTCCACCCTGCACTTGGTGCTTCGCCTCCGGGGTGGCATCATCGAGCCTTCCCTCCGCCAGCTGGCCCAGAAATACAACTGCGACAAGATGATCTGCCGCAAGTGTGTACTCTCGGAGGGGGGTGGGTGGCAGCCCTGGTGGGGAGGGCTTAGGGTTGGGGTGTGCCCTCACTGGTCTCTCTCATCTTTGTGCAGGTGTTATGCTCGCCTGCACCCCCGCGCTGTCAACTGCCGCAAGAAGAAGTGCGGCCACACCAACAACCTGCGCCCCAAAAAGAAGGTCAAATAAGGCCCCCCCACCGGCTCTTCCTTTTCCCGCAGGGCGGCCTCCTGCCCGAGCCCCAGGGCCCTGGGGCCTCAATAAAGTTTCCCTTTCATTGACTGGAGCAGTAACTGGTGTCTGCGTGGCTGGTCTGTCCAACGAGGAGCTGGTTGAGTTGTGGGCCTCTCCCTTAGGGACTCCCTGTCACTTGAGTCTGCCTAGCCCTTGAGCGTCCTGTGTCCTTTGAGTTCTGGTTGTCTCATCTATAAAATGTGCTGTGGTCTCGGCTCTCTGCCACATAACCTAGTGAACCTGCACATCTGGATTTTGTCATCTATAAATGGGAATAAAGAACCCCTCACCCCCCCAGCCCAGGCTCTTGTGGGCCTGCAGATCAGCTATGTCACTGGCTGGGCCCTCCTTAGGCACTTTGATGACTTTCATGCCTGTGCCCTGGAGGTATTGAGGGTGGGTGGGTAGACCAACACCCCACCTAGTGTCAAACCTGTTCTCTGCTGAACATGAGGAGCACCTGGGCCCCACCTGAGACCTATGACCTCAATCTTGGAGGAGTGAGCCTTGGTGTTCATAAAACTTGTGCTGATGCTCTTGAGAACCAGGTGAGCTTTGTAGTGCCCTGGACTGGCCCTGGTAAGGCCATCCTCTAGTCTCAGGGTGATTTGGACTTGGTGTCAGATGACAGGCCAGGACAGTAATGCTGTAGTACTGCTGAGACCTGGGGTGCCAGCTAAAGGCTGGTGTCTGATTTTTCATGGGTCTCCTCCCCCTGGCAACTGCCCCCTGCTCCCTAGGGCTAGGCTACCAATATCTTTCTG